TGTGGTGTGTCTGAATTTTAAACCGACTCTGAAGTGGTTCTGATGTTAGTGATCAATACTAAGGCCACACATTATCAAATGTCCCAGGACTTGATCCCAAAGTGCCATCAGCCGAAAGCCTAAGTGAAACAGTTTGTGAAGTCAGGGGTCTCTGGGAGTCCAGACAGTATGGTGTGTTTGTTCAGAGCACTCTGTGTCCTGAGCTCAGGCCTGATCCATGAATATAAGTTAGCATACTGCAGGGCTTCACCTGCTTTATTTTTAATCCCTCTTCGGGGGACAAGAATGTCCCCTTTCATTGCAGGGGAGTCCCAGAATGGTCCACATCAGATATGAAATTCACTGAAGCCAAATTTGCAGCTAGGAAAATGTATGCAAACTTGGCAATGACTCTACATTTACACCTACTATTTTAAAAAGTTGTTTCCGAGTCTGGGAAGATGGACCAGCTTTGGCCAAGGGCCCACTAGGAAGGCATTCGGACCTGAGTCTGGAAATTCTCAGTGTGATGGCGTGTGTCTGTCATCTCACCGCCAGGAAGGCAGAGTCAGGAGAATCCCTGGGGCCCACTGGCCACTCAGTCTAGCAGAATGGGTGCACTCCAGGTTCAGAGCGAGGCTGTGTTTCAGAAAATGAGGTGCAAAGTGATTGAGGATGTCAATCAGATGATGTCAACATAGTTCCTCCACATGGGTAGGTGCATATATACACACACATGTATGAAAATATGTGTACACACACACACACACACACACCGTTCAATTATTTACCACTGACTCAAAGCTAACACTTCAGTAAGTGATGCTTTGTGACTGCCAGGCCCCTGGTGAACACTTGCTCCAGGGGTAAATGATCAGATGGTAAATGAAGTTCTACTTATGGAAACTTGGACCATCCAGAAAGGGCAGGAATCTCACCACGGGCAAAGGGCTAAGGAAATAGCCACCACCAGGTGGAGCAAAGTCACAGGGAACTGATGTGAGACTCAAACCTCAGGTGACCTATCCAACCCGGGTCACCTGGCTTTCTAGGTTTTAAATCCTAGCCATTCACCACATTCAGGTTTGGGAATAAATTTGGTTCTCAAACATGAGAAAGATAATTACACTGAATGACCAGATGAGAAACAGATCCACTGAAATAAAATCAGGGTAAGAACAGCTCTTCTTGGTGGAAGTGAACCCACTTCCTTCCAGAGGCAAGGAATTACAGGCCCACAGGAAACAGTAGACTGTGGGAAAGAAGACGCACTCCGGATGGAGGAAGATGTGCACTGGACTTACGTCCTTGTGACACCTCAGTTACTGAACCTTTTGTCTCCAGATTCTCATTTGTCATGTGAGGGCAGTAGTGCCCACCTGGTGGGGTTCTTGTGAGAATGTGTGCAAAATGTTCACGTTAGAGAGTGATGCTCCAACGTAGTATGAAGCCATGAACACTCAACAATACTATATTGATGGTTGACTGGACACTGTAACGGTTTATGTTGTCAACTTCTAGGTTCTAGAAGCATCCAGAAGACAAGCCTCTGGGCGAGCCTGTGATGGATTATCTCGATTAGGTTAACTGGAATGGGAAACCCCACCTTAAACCTGTGTGGCTCTATTCCATGGGCTGCGGCCCAGGACTGATCAAAAAGGCAAACAAAAGCTAACCATGAGCATTCGACCCTCTCTGCCTCTCTACAATGGACAAAATCCCTCAAGCTCCCACTGCCATACCTTCCCCCAGGAAGGACTGGCCCTCCAACCGGAAATCAGAACAAGCCCTTTATGTCTCTTGTGGCATTTGTCAGGATATCTTATCGCAACAGGGAGATAAGTTTGTAATACCGGTACCATGATGAAAACAAAGAAGGGTAAGGTATTTTCTCTGATTTTTAAAATGTTTTCTATTAAAGTTGATTAAAACTGTATGTGATGGTGGAGGCAGGAGGATCGTCTTGAGTTTGAGGGTAGCTGGGCCACATAGCAAGACTCTCAAAAACAGGAACAACAGCACACAGATGATTAGAATGGATTATAATAATGATGGTTTGCACCTGGTGTGTGCAAACGCTTTTCAGCTGGCTGTTGATGTTGTAGGCATGCGCTTACTCTGGTACCCAGGGTGGTCTCAATCTCCTGATTGAGATTATCCTTTCTTAATCTCTAGATATCTTGAACTACAGACCTGTGGTGGTTTGAATGAGAATGGTCCCCACAGGTTCTAATGTTTGAATGCTTGGTCCTCTTTCTGTCTGTCTCTTGGTAGTTATCTCAACATGTACATTTTCAGCTGCTGCTCCAGCCCGTGCCTGCCTGCCACCACGCTCCTCGTCATCAGGGTGGTCATGAGCTTGCCCTCTGAAACTGTAGGCAAGCCCCCAATGAAATGCTTTCTTTCATAAGTGGCCTTGATCATGGTGTCTCTTCACAGCAATAGAACAGTGACTAGGATGAAATTTAACCAGGGGCCTTTCTGTTGAAGAATTTTAAAGCCCAGTTCTAGGCTCTGGCAACAACTCATTTCTAGTGGCTCAGTCTCTTCTGCCACATTGCTTCTCTCAGTACAAATATGGAATAAACTCCAACAGCACCATGGGTGATATGAATTCCAGTTAGATTTGAAGGAACCCCATTGAAATGTGACTTTGATTGCCAGGCACATGAACCACCTGCCTCGGGTCTCCCTCTCCCATCCTTCTGCTCTGCCAGTAGTTATGACAATGTACCAACCTAACTGTGACACTTCTCTACTTAAAAGGCTCCCTGCTGTCCAAGGACTGTGTCTGGTGGCTCAGCGTGGCATGGGAGGGCCCTCTCGGTTGGCTCTGAGCTCCCTCTCCAGCTTCTGCAGTGGACATTCCAGAGCTTTGCTGTGACTGGTTCCTAAGTCAGATCCACATGCAGTCAGGGCAGCCCAGACCCGAGTTCTAGATACAAAGGGCTCCGGGGTGAGTCCTAGTCCACTGCTTCCTTAGTATCTAATCTTCCTTAGTCTAATCTCCTGGGTAGGAAAACAGAAAAACATGCTTTGGGGCTGGAGCTCAGCTGGAGTGCTTAGCTGGAATGCACTAAACCCTAGGTCTAGTCCCCAGCACTGAACAGTTGTGGGGGCATCTGCCCGTAATCTCAGCATTCAGGGTAAAAACTGGCATCAGGAGTTCAAGGTCGTCCTCATCTACATGGCAAATTTGAGGCCACCCTGGGCTACATGAGATCTTATCTCAAATAAACAAACAGAAGTTCAAGGCCAGCCTGGTCTACCAGAGACCCATTGTGTCCAAAACAAAAGAGCCTTCCTCTTACATTCTGTTCTGTTATAGAATGGAATATCACTAACAATTAAATCGATGCAAAGAACGATTTTAAAATGCCACTGCATATATATGACATCTGCATATGTTTAAAATTTTTAAGTATTTTTCACCTTCTATCCCACCTAGTATTTGAGTGCATCTCTGGAGATCTTATTTGCAGTTAGCCAGAGTAAAATATGTCTTTTTTTTTCTGGAATGCATCTTCTTCTAAGATCGCCTACTACTTACTAGTCAAATTTTAAACTCAGGAACTGGGGGTGTGGCTCAGGGATAACCTTGCATGTATGAGGCCATTGGTTAATTCGCCATTACTGCAAACTAGCAATTGAAGTCCTGTTCTTCTGTGATTTCTTAGTCCTCAGCTGCCCCATTCACATAGTCCATTTTTCCTTCGTTCTGTCTCCCCAAACCCTATACTTGGATAAAAGTATTTTCCCTATAGCATTACCACACTGCCTGTAATTATTTATGCAGTGTGTGGTGAGATCCCTCAGGACAGGTGCCTAACGCCGATCCCCCCTGCTCTTAGCTTGTGTTTGGCCAGCACTAAGAACTAATGTTTATCACTGACTACGGGAATGAATGCTCAGAGTCTAAAAGTCTCCACGACCTTTAGATCTCTCAGCGGAAACATTTTGGCAACAGGTATGCCTTGGCCTTTGATAAATCAGGATCACAGCATTTAGGAAATTAATTTGAGAGGATCCAGGAAAGGTCCTAAAGGGTAAACACAGCTGGGTGAAAGCTAGCAACATCCTAAATGTGGGTGATTCCTATTATACCACCCTTTCTCTGCCATCCTAGCACTGAGCTGCGTCTAGGATGGAGAATGTGATGTGTCAAGAACTTTTCCTCCCTGCCTCAAATGTAGAGCTTCCTTCTCCAATTTTTAACAGGGAAGTCCTTCGCCATCCAGTGTTCAGTTTTCCTCCTGGGGTCCAACATCTTGGGGTCCATTACGGTGACACCCAACTCTGGACTTCAGCCACTGGAAAGAGCATGGCCAGAGCCCAGTTGGAAGGCGGCAAGGGGGGAGTCTGTTCCCAAGTTCAGAGGGGTCTCCCAATGTCGCCCACCGGGCAGAGCGGAGGCACAGGGGGCGCCGCCCAGGGAGGCCGCCGTTGGGTGCGCAGGGCCCCGCTCGGGTTGGCCACAAGGGGCATCCATCTTCCAGGACGAGCCCCGAGCGGGGACCAGGGCGAGGGCGGAGAAGGGGTGGGCCCAGGAACGCCGTCCCCTCGGGCGACAGGACCCCGCCTCTCCTAAGTCCACGCGGCCGGCAGCAGCCGCCCTTCTCCAGGCGTTGCGAGCGGTGGGCAGAGCGCGCGTCGAGGACTGGGCGGCCGCCGGGCGGGGGGCGCGGCTCCGGGTGCGCGTGTCGTCGCGGCCGCCAGGGGGCAGCAGCGGCCAGTGGGCGGCGGAGAAAGAGCCCAGGAGGCGCCGGGCGAGCGAGGCGGCAGAGGACCCTCGCGGCGCCGGCTCCCGAGACGCCAACTCCACCGGGGCTGAACCGGGCGCGTCCGATCGTCGCCGCCGCCACCGCCGCCGCCGCCCTTCGAGTCCCGCCGAGAGGACACGCGTGGGGACTGCCATCCCTTCGGCCTGCCGGGCGTTGGCAGAGGCGGCGGCATCCCAAGCTCGGGGCGCGGGGCGCGGGGCGCGGGGCGCAGGCAGGAAGGGAGGCGGCGGTGGCCGGCGGGGCGCGACCCCCGCGCGCGCGGGTCTCAACAATGGTGCTCCGCGCTGGCGCGATCCCCGCGTCCGCCCCGCGGCCGTAGAGGAAGCGGCCGGGAGACGCCCCCCCTTCTCCCCGCCCCAGCCACACACGCTCGCCCGAGTTTGCGCGGCTCGCCTCCCCGCCTGGGGCTCCGCTCGCCAGCGCCCAAGGCGGCTCAGCCCCGGAGCATGGTGCCGGCGCCCGGCTCTCTCTAATCGCTCCTCTCCCTCCTCCTCCTCCTCCTCCACCTCTTCTCGCTTCTCCCGTCCCACCCGTCCCTCCCGAGGGTGCTGCCTCTGGCTTCCTTCGGCGAGAGGGAGTGCAACTCTGTGCCTCTCCAAGGAGACTGGCGACTGGCCGGCGACCACCCGACAAGAACTCGCCCCCCATTGAAAGCCAGCCCGGAACAGCCGGAGAATGTCCACCCCGAGCCGATTCAAAAAGGACAAAGAGATCATAGCCGAGTATGAAAGTCAAGTGAAAGGTAAGGGTGGGAGCGGCTGCCTCGCTCCTTTTGTGTGCCTTCCCTTGTCATTGTGTTCCTGGAGTTCCCGTGTGTAACTTGGTTGTCTGCGTGGGCGGAAGGTGGCGAGGGGACACAGCTCGGCTCCTGGCTGAACACCACCCCCTTCTCCCCCCCCACCCCCCGGGCGTCCTAGAAGCCGGTCTTAACCTGATCAGACCCACTGGGACGGGATACCAGGTGGCTTCCCCGGGCTGGAGCTCCCACCTCCAACACTGAGACAACTGGCTGGAACTTAATCACCTTCAGCTGGCCATTTACTCGGCAAGGCCGGCAGCGCCCAGAGTTCCTGCCTGGTTGTCATCATCACCATCATCCCCCCCCCTTTTTTTTTTTTTATGTGAAATCATTGTCACGGCATATTTTTTCTATGGAGTCATTTTGTAAAGTCTGAACCCTGAGTGGCCGGGCGCTTCCCCGAGTGAAGACTGTTTCCGACATGTACACTTTTCCCTGTTCATTTAGCAGGGCGAGTCCCCTTTTATAAAATAGCTCTCTCAAAGCCATGCCAGTTAAACCTACAGCGACTCCTGGAATCTGACTCCTCCTTTAGAGCAGGAATCCAGTGCCATCCCTCGCACTCACGGGAGGATATTGCTTTATCATTTGCTGGAGGGCGCTTGCATATGAAATGAAGGCGTGAGTACGGGAATAAGTAGTTTCAGGCCATTTGCATAGTCAACTAAGGAAGGCAACCCAATTAAGGTGGATCAAGCCTTACTTTCTGTGCTTCATACTTTTAAAAATATTTTTTTCCCTCCAATTCAAGTGTTTTGTTTGGCGCTGGGGAGTTTTAATAAACATCTATGTGTTTGCTGCCCCCAGTGTGTGGTCTCTGTACATTTCCTGAGGAAGACAATGGATGGAGCGTGGGGATCTCTGCTGTTCAGTGGTGCATTTAATGCAAAGTTCAGAAAGATTGTTCTAGCAACACCTGTGTTTATATACCGTGCTGTGGCTGCTGAGCCAACCTTAACTGCGCCTGCCTGGGGAAAGGCCTGGCGCCTCAGTGTTCTTTTGTGTGGTCCAGTTGGGGAAAGGCTTGGAGACCTGGAGAGGACACGGGGCCAGGGGATCCTGGGTCACCTGAGTGGGAAGGTGACTTGAGACCAAGTTACAGTCAAACCGGACACAGGTTTCAGGGCCGACCTTTAGAGTGGAGTTGAGTGGTTTTAGGAACGCAGAATTCTTTCTGCCTGTCATGAAGATCACTCCCATGAACTCTTTAGCGTCGATGTTGAAGTTACATCAGCAGAGAATTATCTCCTCCTCATCAGGTAAACTTTCTAATGAAGATTACAGTTTTCCTCAGTGCAGCCTAAAACCTTTCATTCCCAGGAAGGGCTCCTGCTCGCAATCACCATTTTCCTGGGCAGGTTTTCCACATGGCTCTTTGTGGCGGGTCTTCCAGAAGTGGCAGTCTGGTTTTCTGACTGCTTGGAGCACCCCCTGGCATGATTCACTTCCATAAACCTCTCCTGATCTGGGGGGTCTCACTTTAGATCGTTTGACTGTAACTGACCCCTTCTCTGAAAAAGGAATCGATGACAGGTTTGAATATTACCTTAATTTCTTCGAGGGTGTAAGTTCTGTGATAGGTGATAACGTGAGTATCTGAGAGTTATACACCTTCTTTATTAAAGATCCAACCAAATGGGATTCGTTACAATGTATCTATGAAATCTAAAATTAAGCAAAAATTATGAACATGAAAATTCTTTCTGAAATAATTTAGTCCCACAAAATGTGACCTTTGCCTTTACTCCCTTCCACCGTCCACACCCAGTTCTAGGTTTAGGACTTTAGTGAACCGGCCCTGCCTTGCCTGGCCCTGCCCTGTGGCTAGACTTTATCCAGTACCGAGGAACCTGGCTCACTGTATTCATATGCACACATGGGAATTGGGTATTTTAATTCAGTGAGCTCAATCCCAGCCGCAGATTCACCTGTGTTCCTGGGCAAAACCTAGAGAGTGTGAGAGCTGACAGTTCACAGTGCTTAAACCCAGCTGTCCTGGGAAGCAGACCCCTTAGGAAGGAGAGCCCGAGAGAAGCCCCTCTGGGCTCCTAACCTCTCCACTTCCCTGCTACCTCTTGAAGGGGTGTGCAGCCGGGCACCAGGCTGGGATTTAGATTTTCAGTTTTGGAATAACCTACTCTTTTAATTCCAGCTAGCTACTTCATGTGATGCTAAACAAAAGAAGCTGTCCTCTTCCATGGCTGAAGGAAAAACCTGGCTTTGTTGGAGAATTAAGTCTGTTCCCAATGAATAAAGCCACATGTGTGAACTCTGGGTAGCTTAGGCCGGCGAATGGATGATTCTGAACCATTTCTATGACAGATGATTTTTTTTCTTTTCACCTTCCAACTTAGAGCCCAAGACTCTGGGGTATTGTTCTTTCTTGCTGTCTCCCACTCCCCTGACAACAATTGGATTTACCTAAGAATTCCTGGGATAGTATTTTGATCTGACAGAAAGCTCAGCTCCTAGATTTTATCACTGTGGCTGCCTGCAAGGGTTCTGAGCACAAGACTACCTGGGGCGGTCCTCAGTCTCTGGTAATACTGTGTAATTTCATCTGTGTGGCCATAACTCTCTCATTTGTGTTGGGGAGGTCTCTTGTTTGTCTCTGGGGTGTGGTTTTTCTTATCTGTGAGGAATTTACATTTTCTCAGTCCTTAGGGTCTTTGAATCTAATTGAAGATGTCATGAAAATTCATATTAATTGCTTCATAAAATGTTCAAGCTTTTCACTTTTTTTTTTCTTCTTGGCTGTCCTGATGTGGATGGAATCATCTTTGCTTTTAATTTTTTTTCCGTAATGAGTCAATTGAGTTCTTGGGAAATCCCATTATAATTCAATAAAGAATATGGAAAACTAAAACCATGACCAGACAAATGTAGAAGAAATTTGTAAGATGAGGTAGGAGTTATTCACATAGTTAAAGAACAGTTCACTCAGGACAGAAGCACACCAAGCCACCGTTGAAAGGCCCGTGTTAATTTGGAGTAGAGGGTCTGGCCATGTCATGCCTGTTAGTCAGCATCTCAAACACAGAAGCAAGAGAGCACTTGGAGGGGCTGAGGCAGAGACCCTGTTTTTTAGAAAAAGGAAATAAAGAAAGGGCAGGGGAAGAGAGGAGAAGGAAGGAAAGAAGAATGGAGGAAGACGGAATCCAGGGAAAAAATGTCGTTGGGGGTTGGGCATTAAAAAGCAAGCATGGTGGGTAAGTGTATGAAATTCTAAACGGCTAATGTCTACTTGTTATCGCCTCTGGCAAATGAGCAGTGAAAAGATTGATTGGCTAGCAGGAGCCTTGGGGCTTACCTGGGGGTCTCTCTGAGACCTCGGTAATTCTGTAGAGAAAGGATCGGGGAGTCACCTAAGTGAAAACCCAAAGCGAGAAGTGATGCATTTTATGAGGTGAAATTAATGAGACACGTCGGTTTTTCATAGCGCTCATTGGCTGTTCGGAGTGGACAGCCATGGCTTGCAGCATCTCCTAGGACAGCAACCTGACCCCAGCCCCCACATTCCGCTCTGTGGGGCTGTGTACAGGAAGGACCGGGGAAATCTGTGGTCCCTTGGCCTCTCTGCCACCTGAGCTACACAACGTACACTTCAGTACCTCATAGAACATAAGGAAATAGCAGCTTAAGATGATAGGAGTCCATGTCATGCCATGGGCTTTACGAGGGAAGTTAAAAAGCGTTAGTGTTCCTAGGATGGCCATGGAATCTGCTTTACCGTCGCCATAACCTGGGAAGGGACGACTGTTTCAGTTTGGAGCTAAACGTTTATTGTTGGGAGGGATTTCAGACATGTTTTTGACCAACCCAGTCATTCATAGGATGTGGGGAGGCCTCCTGGCCGCTCTGTAATTGTGTATAACTGGGACTTCCTTGAGACTAGAATCGGGGTCCCTCTCATTTGAGGAGTGACTGTTTGCTTTCAGGTCTCTCTCAAAGTAGATGGAGGCAGGATACTAACCCACTGAGGATTTAGTCACTGAGGGACTCACAGTTGAACCAAAGGGGGTGGGGGGAGACGAACAATTCAAGTTATTAAATGATCTGTAACTGGGTGGGTTTTTTTCCCCCCTCCTCACCAAGATCATTTCAACAGACCACAGTGCCCAGAGAGCAGCTTCATGTGGTGGCCTTGAAGGTCAAGAAAAGCAGCGTGGTGAATGTGCACACACACACACGTGGCTTACTGTTTGGTTGAAACTAATGGCAGCGACTGTCATGGAGTTGTTTACCTGACTCACTTTCCTAACTGCAAAATCCATTGACCAACACTTGTTGAGGTCATTTTGAGCAAAGCGTGCCCTTCTGAAAGACAGTGAAGGTTAGGGTCTGACACGGGCTGGGAAACCCCAGTTCCCTCCTTCTCCATTACTTTGCCCCTCCTGGGTTGACCAGGAGGAGCCAGGCTGCGGGTTTCGGGTTTCAGAGCTGATTGTGTCAGACTCTCCTTTTCCACCGTCCTCTTCCTCTTCCTCCTGCCTTTCTTCTTCCTCACTGTCTCCTTTTTGGCTGGCCTGGAACTTCCTCTATCTGAGGATGACTTCCAACTCCTGATTCTCCCGCCTTCGCCTCCCAAGTACTGGGATCACAGGCGTGGAGCACCGTGTTGTAACATTGTTCCTACCTCATTAGTCTTCCTTTGTTCACGCTACCGCGTTGATCCATGTAAACAAGTAATCATAAACGGTGTTTCTTGTCTGAGGCTTTTGATAGATACTTATGTGAAGATATTGTTACTTCTGGACCCAGAGTTACTTTCTAATTTATTGACCACCTTCGCGGGCTGCCCTGTTGACATCTCATGGGAAGAGATGGGGCACGGTGTTCTAAGTGCAGGCTTGGTGGTAGTTATCTGCCTCGCTACTAATTACACTTGTGACATTGAGGATGCAATCTCTTCATCTACAGGACAGGGATAATAATAGGACTAC